GGGAATATTCGGTCACGTGACGTATTTAGACCAATCGCGCGCGAGCGAAAATATTTGATGGATTATAACAGATGATAGAGGGGCAACAAGGCGCGTAGCGCTGAGTCGCCGAGTTGGCATGATAATCTCGTATCCAGCAAGTGCGAGTGGAATAATTGTTTTATTAAAAACGCCCCTAAAACATAGAAACTAAACTAAAATAAATAAAAACGCTCAAAGAAATTACGCGTACGCTTACCACATTAGTAGAGCATGGTGTGATGGCTCATATACCTTGAATTGCATTATCCAATGATCCAGTTTTCAATAATTACGAATAGATGTCTTAGTTCGTCTGTTTGTTTGTTTGTTTGTTTGTTCGTTTGTTTATGTGCTGTTGTTGTGTTTTTTGCTTGCGTAGGCTGATGTCATGGCGACAGTAGCTCAGTCAGCAGAGCAGGGAACTGCTGGTATTGTCATCTGGGGAGATCACCTCACCGAGAAAACAAAAACCGACTGCCTGGAAATAAAGTCCTACATTGACAATTTCCTGGGTCCTTTGGTGAAAAATCTCACCGCAATTACTCAAACCTGCAGTCAAAAATTCTGCAATTCACACGGAAGGTGCACTTTTGAGTTGAATCCCTCTGTTTATGCGAAGGCCTTGAGTCAAGGAGTTGTACAGGATCTGACTGATCAGTGGAAATTTGTGAGCTGTAAATGTTACAATGGATGGAGCGGGGAGGACTGTAGCCATCAAGTCTAGGATAGAAGAAACGACATGACTAGGATACACAAGCCTTTCTATAGATTTCAAGCCCTTCTATAGATTTTCTTCATAATATGTTTCACTTGCGCATTTATCTTATGGAGCGTTTTCACATGACGTCATGGCAGCCATATTGGTGTCCCAAAACAATGAAACGCCTGCCATGTTGGTGTCCCAAATCGATCCTCTGGGAGTTCAACTCTTTTCTTATGTAAACACTTCCTTTTGTTTCAATAAATGTGCACAAGTGCTGGCCACGTGAATGACAACGCTCTGTACATGATCCGTGTTGATGAAATTTGATAGTGTGAAGAGTCAGTTTTGGTAGTATCAAGTGGAGAGACACATTAGATTAAAATATGATAATTGCTTGGTGTGCACACGACAATCTACTAGACGGTCTATCTACTATCGTGTATGTAATAATTAGAAATAAACAAAGAATTTCAGTGTTTACACTTTGGTTTTGGATGGTGGTATGCGAGGTTCATGTTGAACCACTTAAAAGGTCAGAGAATTAAAAGAAAAGAAAAAACAGAAACTAGGCCGTAAGTCCACACTACGCCGGAAAAATTTGAAAACGGAGGTTTCGCTCTGAAAACGAATCAAATGTTTTCCGTTCACACCACGCTGGAGGAACTAAGAAACGCAGCAATGACCGGTCATTTTGGATTTGTGTTTGATGAGAACTCGGGCAGGAAAATGTTCTGATTTTCGAAAAGCTTCGTTTTCAGAATGTCTCCCGTCCACACCAAAACGCAAAGATGCTACGGATCGATTACTTGCAAAATTCCTTTGATTTTTGAGTAGAAGTTAATAGGAACTCTCCACAAAGACCTGTTACTAGCTGTACCTGATACTTCTTCGTTATCCCCTATCTTAAAATGCTCACCAACTAAGAATGCACACTCGAGGATTTATGGTGTAGGGGATGTCGTCAAGGAATTCATTTCATGATTTAAAAGCGCAGTGCCATCGAGATTGAGAACGCACCTGACTCCCGCAACATATCTTCAAGCTTAGTATTTTAGAAAGTGATGGCCTGGAGTTTTTTAAATTTGTAAGTAGTGATATTCTTACTTCTAGCCTTAGTGCAATGAAGACTCTGTTTTCTAACGACAAGCACAGTCTTAGCCACGATTTAAGTAAGTACCTTGAGGGTGCCACTCCTAGACCGGATGCCATATGGCTTGTTGGATTACAACATCCGATGTTTTGCAAGATACAGGACCCAGAATCTTGGTATGGAAGCCCATTATGATTTGGGGCTTGAAACCATACTAACTGGCTAAAAACAAAATTTGCTTTGAACGGTAGCTTTTAAAAAGTGATTCGGACTCTCGAATTTAGAGCTCATGAAAAATTATTTCAAAATTCTTGGTACAGTTTAATAGCCAGCTCTGTAAGATTTAATTTGATATAGGTTTTGAGTATCTACAGTTTAAACCAGACGCGCTACATCGCTTGGGCGTGAGACACATCTGAAGGTATACGGTAACCTTAAGTGACATGCTTGAAATTAGCCATCCCAAAGCTAGTGAAGTGCACTATAATTGTATTCACAGCAAGAGAAGATCAGGCTTGCATGCATACGTCCAGATATTTTATTTTAATTACAGCACACTACTTGTGCGATATGGGAGACACACGTTAAGAGTTGAATCCAAAGCTCAGCAAAGTTCTGATTACTATTTTACCAAAGGTGAATAGATAGAATTTGAGAGAGGCAGGATTCCATATCACGAGCGTGCATTATTTTGTTGGTGCCTTTTATGCTCAGATTGTACACCCTGACCACGTATCCCTAAGATGTTGTCATAGAAACGTGACTGAAAGGAAATCTGGGAGAACAATAGATGCTTTGGAAACACGAGCCACAAGCGAGCGCTTCCACAGCTTCCTAGAGTTCTCATAAACTGTGTTTCTTTAACTAGGTAGAACTAGGGAAGATGTTATACAGTATACATTTCTTTTAGAAAACATTGCTAGAAAAAGTCAACAAAATCACTTTCTATTTTGATCCTTAAAGTTTGAATGCTCTCAATTTTCTCCCGGCCGCCATTGAAGGTGTGTGCCACTATCAAGTTCTAAAGGTCGGGTTTTTAGCGCGCTTTCTTACCTGGTGTTTTTAACACCTACGCGTGCTCTGATAAAAACGAAGCAGCTGAAAAGTGCGCGTGCACGCTTTAGTCTAATGAAATAATTCATCCTAATACGTAACGAATGGAGACCAAACTTACACAAAAAGGTCTCCAAAAAGGTCTTCTTTGCANCTAGTGAAGTGCACTATAATTGTATTCACAGCAAGAGAAGATCAGGCTTGCATGCATACGTCCAGATATTATATTTTAATTGCAGCACATTACTTGTGCGATATGGGAGACAAACGTTAAGAGTTGAATCCAAAGCTCAGCAAAGTTCTGAATTTAAGACAGGCAGGATTCCATATCACGAGCGTGCATTATTTTGCTGGTGCCTTTTATGCTCAGATTGTACACCCTGACCACGTATCCCTAAGATGTTGTCATAGAAACATGACTGAAAGGAAGTCTGGGAGAACAATAGATGCTTTGGAAACACGAGCCACAAGCGAGCGCTTCCACAGCTTCCTCGAGTTCTCATAAACTGTGTTTCTTTAACTAGGAAGAACTAGGGAAGACGTTAAACAGTATACATTTCTTTTAGAAAACATTGCTAGAAAAAGTCAACAAAATCACTATCTATTTTGATCCTTTTGAATACTCTCAATTTGCTCCCGCCATTGAAGGTATGTGTGCTACTATCAAGTTCTAAAGGTCGGGTTTTTAGCGCGCTTTCTTACATGGTGTTTTTAACGCCTACACGTACTCTGATGAAAACGAAGCAGCTGAAAAGTGCGCGTGCACGCTTTAGTCTAATGAAGTAATTCATCCTAATACGAAACGAATGGAGACCAACCTTACACAAAAAGGTGTCCAAAAAGGTCTTCTTTGCAGTAAATGAACTGACTTATTGCAACCATAAAATCAAAATTGTAGTTATCACGTTCTAGTGTTACTGACAAAGTAGTGTTAACAAACAGATCTGAACGATTTAAAACTGTACGGTCATTTAGTTTCTTCCACGGCGGGTAAAATGTAAGAAAACCTTTGC